TTAAGCTGTGAATGCATCTTTACTATGGCTACAGTTTTCATTGAAATAAAGGATAAATCTATACATGAATTATATATGCAGATCTTATCTGTGGTTAGCCTATATAATTATAAAATAATAGTAAATTTATAATTCAGGTTAAGATTAGGAAAATAAAAAAAACCAGAGCAAATAACTTTTATATTATACAGTCGAGTCTCGATAAATTGTACCCTGCTGAATAAAAAATTATACACATATATCTAGCTCCATTTTAATTCATCCTATAAAAATAATTCATATCTCTGAAACTTCAACATTTTCTATATTCAATTTTCTATATTTATATCAACTAGTCGTGCATCCCCAACGGAAAAACCTTTACATTTCTCAGCTGCAACTGCCGTTGTGGATGCCGCTGCTTCTGCTGCTGCAGCTGCCTTTCCAGTCATGTGTCACATATTGAAAATTGTGCAGCAGCAGTCACAGCAGCCAGAGTCAGGCAGTCTTTTGGCTTATGGCTGACTGCCTGCCTGCCTGGCCTGGCTGACTGGCTGGCTGACTGCCTTTCGGCCAACAAAGTCGAGCACAGCGCCCTGATAAGCCATTCGAAAGAGGGTTTTACATATGCTGAGCTCAAAGCGAAAGACCGTCTGCCAGCCATACATCTGCAACGTATTGTGGCAGCTGTGGCGCATGGAGCTCGCTTAATATTTGATTGAACATTGTTGCGCATGCTGCTAATACTTTTATTGCATTCTATACAGCTTCTTCTTACACATAGTCATCGTCATCATCCACATCATCTACATCATCATGATTGTCTTCAGTTGTTCTGAGATCAGCTTAAAGTTCAAGTCGTGCTCTTGCCAGCTTGAAAACTTTGGCCTGCACTTTTCCACATATGCAGCAAAAATTTTCCGTTTGATGCTTTTAGTGTCGTCTTATTAAAAAGTTTTTAATCTTATCTGCGAACCAGCCTCCTCCTTCTTCTACTTCTCGTGCTTCTCGTCGTCTTCCCTTGCGTTGCGTAGCGCCCACACAGTTGTCGTTTTATTCCCTGATAAGCTCTTAAAATTCCTACCATCTATTCTCTGGTCCCGACTCCTGCTCCCTTTCTCATTCACTCCATCTATAACAAAGCTGCGGAAATGACTGAAGCATTGCAATGGCAAAAGTTTAGCTCATAGTACACTAAGTGTCCTTTCTTTTTTTTTTTTTTTTTTTTGGTGTGCGTGCGCGAGTGTGTGTGTCTGTCTACATTGTTGACAAAAGTTGAGGCTGCTATTAGGGGTCGTTTAGCTTGCGATTAGTTCGGCTAAGTCAGTCTACGATGCTCAAACTTCCTGCCTACTTTGCAAGTTTTCGAAAGTTCTTTAGAATTCGGAAATGTCTCAATTTGAAATTGTGCAAAGAAAACAGAAACAAAAACGAAAACATATACGAAAAACTTCAATCACATTAAGGGTATTAATTTTAAAGTGGTTTCGCACATTGTTTAGGCTGGGCAAATACTTGAAATTTTTAATTTAAATCGATCCAGCCAAATAACTAACTAACGTAACTTGGCTAAGAGGCCAACAAATTGGTTTAACTTTGTTGGTTTTTGTTGTACTTTGATTGAACTATGAAGTGCATCTCACTCACTGATTTGTACTCGGCTAAAACTCGTGATATATAGATGATAAAATTTATAGCGATCTGTTGCTATTGAAACGTGCTCCTAATAAAAAGTGAAAATGAGTTGCTATTAAGCACACACTAAACATATATTTTGCTCTGGGAGAAACTACTCGAATAATGACGCCCCTATCATTTCATTAACAATTACTCAAGTCGTAAACATGTTGATGCACTTTTTTTTTGGCACATATATTTATTGATGCTTCACCTCCTGCACACGTTCAGCTCGTATAAGATATATATATATATATGTATTCCTTGTACTTTCCGCTTATCAGTCATAAAGCATAATGTGCACTTAATCTTCATTTGCACTGGGACAACATTACAACACTGCGAAATGCATACGAAAAGGGAAGGAGGGAGAGAGAGAAAGAGAGAGTGAGATATGCATAAAAATTTGGTTGAGTGGGGGCGTGAAGTTGACTTCAGCTGCAGAAAGCCTTTTAATTTGTGCCATAAAGACGAAAAAGGAATTGCTTAATTCCATGACAAACACTCGCAGCTGGAGTGCATATAAAGGATAGGCCCCGACGGGAAGACAGMTCTACAAGCCAGCCAGCCATCCCAGCCAGCTATCCAGCCAGTCAGCCAGCAGCTCTCCGAATCCCACGGCGATGACTTAAATCAACAAAAGATTTATGCCAGACAGCAGTATACGGGACAGCAGGAGCAGAAGTTGCATTGAGAAAAAAAAAACAGAAAAAGAAGCTAGGCGTATATAAATCCTGCGAGTCGGACTTAACGGCAACAACAACAACGGCAACAGCAAYGACAGCAACATCAAAATCTGTAAGGACCAAAATAGCGCCCGGCTAAAAGTCAGTCAGTCAGTTGAATCAGGGCGAGAGGGCGTGGCAGGGGGTAAATTTGGTAAAGCTGCGACAGAGCTCTTGCTTTTGTTGCATGCGAAATAACATGTCTGGCCCAACTGTAGCCAGCCAGTAGTGCTCTATATCCCCAGCAATATCCCTCGCTGTATAACCACATGTGTACCACATACACACATATATACATGCACATATGTATACACATATATACATGTAGGTTCACAACTGACGACTGGCACAAATAATTTGCAGTTTTACAGTTTTTCAGCGCTTTTATGCTGCATGTTTTCCACTTCACAGGATTTTATGTGCCACTACGCTCGGCTCAAGTGTTGGAAAATACAATTGCCAAGCTCACACACGTACACACATACACTGAGCGAAAAAAAAAAACATTTCCGCATTTGTTGTTGATGTTAGTTTCTTTTTTTTCTGCTGCTGCTGCTGTTGTTGTTTGTGTTGTGCCGCCAAATGTTTTGCCTTTGCTAAAAAAGACAATAAACTGTGTCAGTGCGGGCCAAAACACATGTGTGCGTAGCATATATACCCTGTAAACTGGCATAATGGTCAAAGCGTGTCGGAGTATCAAAAGTGACGTATTTATGATATCTTTAGAAATACAAAAAAAAAA